TAGTTTCCTATAGATTTTAAAAATTAATCCCTTGTCTGATACATTGTTGCAAAAGATATTTTCCCATTCTGTGAGCTCCCTTTTACACTCTTTTGGTGAAATATTTTGATGTACGTAAGTTTCTAATTTTTAGTATGTTTCAGTCATCTATTTTGTCCTTTGTGCAATTCTCACAATGTTTGGTAATCTACGTCTGCTGTGTATTGTTGTTGTTGTTAAGTGTTGTCTAGTCGGTTCCTACCCATAGAGACCCTGTATAGGGTTTCCGAGGCTGTGAATCTTTACCGGAGCAGAAAGCCTTTTCTTTCTCCCATGGAGCGGCTGGTAGTTTCGAACTGCTGACCTTAAGGTTTATAGCCTGATTTGTAACCACTACATTACCAGTGCCATGTATTAGAGCCCTTAAAATTTATCCCTATTTTTTCATCAGTGACCGTTATAATTCTGGGATTCACATTTAGGTCTTTATAATCCATGTTGAGTTGGTTTTGTATATGGAGTGTGATAAAGGTTTTGTTTCAATCTTTTACTATCGATTTCCAGTTCTGCCAGCACTATCTGTTGAAGAGGCTATATCCTCCCTATTCAATGTACTTTGGCCCTTTGTCAAAGATCAGTTGGTTGTATGTGGATGGATTAATATCTAGATTCTCAACTCTGTTCCATTGATCTGTGTGTCTTTCATTGTACCAGTGCCAGGCTGTTTTGACCACCATAGCCGTGTAGTAAAATTTGAAATTGATACCAAACATTCTTGGGGAAGGCTTGGCTATATTTGTGGGACCCAACGCAAAAGAGTAAAGTGGAGTCTCTTGTTCAAAATAAGAAAAAGTGCTGCTAAAATACATAAAGCTTTTGCCTTGCTTTTATCTCTTGGGCTCTGCTCATACTCCACTGTCCCATTGTACTTAACAAAAGAGCAAAGATAAAATTAATATTACGGGACAGTCCACAGTTCTTCTAGAACAAGAACTAGTGTGATTACACAGGTCACCCTGTTCCTAAATTCCCTCTTATGCCACTGACCATTCCTTTTTCAGTCTACTTTGCCAATTGTTGATTTTTCCCCGTGTTTAAGGAGCTCTGGTAGCGTAGTGGTTACCAATCGGGCTATGAACCTTAAGGTCAGCAGTTCAAAACTACCAGCTGTTCTGTAGGAAAAAATGAGGCTATCTGCTCCCCTAAAGATTTGCAGTCTCGGAAACCCTGTACAGGGTCGCTGAGTCAGAACCAATTCCACAGCACATAACCACAACCACCACCCTCTTCATCCCAGGTTCTGAATGACTTTTTATCTATTGTCTTTGTATTCTAATCTACTCTGTTTCCTAATTTATATTTTTAGCCCTAATTTGTCCTTCTGAATGCCAGATGGTTATAGCCAGCAACTAAGTCAATCTTCATTTAGGTGTCTAATAGGTTTACTCTGACTCATAGTGAATTTACACGTGATAGAATAAAGTCTTGTTCAGTTCTGTGTCATCATGACTGTCGGCACATTTGGGTCCATCAGTATGGCTTTTGTGCCAGTCCACTGGACTCAGGGTCTCCCTTTGCCCTCCACTTCACCAAACATGATGTCTTCTTCCAGAAATTGAGCCCTCCCTATGACTTGTCCAGAGCAAGTAAGTTGGGTTTTCACTGGCTAATTTTTGGCAGTAGATCACCAAGCCTTTCTAGTTTTCCTTAATCTGGAATCTCTGCTGAAATTTGTCCCCCATGAGTGATCCTACTGATAATTTGAAATATCAGTGGCATAGCTCCCCACACCAGAGTACCACAGCAGTTACCATAGTATGACAAACTGGTAAGTAAGTGGTGGTAGATGGCTAATGCCCACTGCCATTGAGTTGATTCTCACTCAAAGGGACCATAGATAGCAGAGGTTCCCAGGTTGTAAATCTTTATGGAAGTAGAAACTCTCATTTTCCTTCTGCAGAGCAGCAGGTGGATTTGAACTGCCGAACTGTGGTTAGCAGTCAAGTGTTTATCTTATAGAGCAAACCAGGGCCCCTAGATGTCTAATTGTTGCTGTTTAGTGCCGTGGAGTTGGTTCCGATTCAGCACCTCTGTATATGGTTTCTGAGGCTTTAAATCTTTGTGGAAGCAAAAAGCCTCATCTTTCTCCCATGGATGTGGCTAATGGGCACACACCTATGGAGACATCTTCAAATTAGCATATCCTGACACAACTGCTTACCTGTGCTCCAACTCACCCTCCTCCTTCCCTGGGTTTCCCCACCTCAGTAAATACTGCTCAGGCCCAAAACCTGGGTCAGTACATTTTCCTCTTCTTTTTAGCAGTACCTTGACCAATAGCAAATCATTTTCAGCTTTACATGATCAAACTCAGCAACTCCACTGACACTATCCAAGTAGTGTCTTCTCTTTCTTACACCATTCAAACAGCTTCCAAAATTGCTTACTTACTTATGTTTTTGTTGTCCTCTCAGTTCATTTACCTCTTAATTTTAAAAAATTTAAAAACCAACAAAATTTCCACTGAATCAATTCTTACTTATGGTTTCCCTGTGTGTTAGTGGAACTCCATACGGTTCACTTGGCTGCAATCTTTATGGTGTCATTCATTGTTCAAACCACCAATCTTTATGGTGTCATTCATTGTTCAAACCACCGATCTTTGGGTTAGTTGAGTGCAAACTGTTTTCAACACTCAAGGACTTCTTTATCTCCTCGTAGCTGTTGTTGTGAGGTGCCCTCCAATCGATTCCAGCTCATAGAGACCTTATGCACAACAGAATGAAACATTGCCCAGTCCTACAACATCCTCACAGTCGCTGTTAAGCTTGAGACCATTACTGCTGCCATTATGCCATCATCTTGTTGGAGGTCTCTTTTTCACTGAGCCTCTACTTTACCAAGCATGAAACTCTTCTCCAGGGACAGGTTCCTCCTGATAATATGTCGGAAGTATGAGAGATGAAGTCTTGCCATCCTGGCTTCCAAGGAGCATTCCAGTTGTATTTGTTCCAATACAGCTTTGTTTGTTTCTCTAGCAGTCCATGGTACTTCTAATACTTTTCTCCTATACCGTAATTCAAATGCATCAATTCCTCTACAGTCTTCCTTATTTATTGTCCACCTACCACATGCATACGAAGCCACTGAAAATGGCTTGGGTGAGGTGCACTTAGTCCTCAAACAGACATCTTTACCCTTCAACACTTTTAAGAGATCTTGTGCAGCAGATTTGTCTAATGCAATTCGTCGTTTGATTTCTTGACTGCTGCTTCCATGAGTGTTAATGGTTGATCTAAGCAAAATGAAGTCTTATGACAACTTCAATCTTTTCTCCATTTAACATGTGATTTATTGGTACAGTGGTGAGGGTTTTTGTTTTCTTTATTTATATTGAGGTGCAACCCATACTGAAGGCTGTAGTCGTTGATTTTCGTCAGTATTTTAAGTCCTCTCCATTTTCAGCAAGATTGTATCGTCTGCATATCGCAGGTTGCTAATGAGTTTGCCTTCGATCCTGATGTCATATTCGTCATATAATCCAGCTTCTCAAAGTATTTGCTCAGCATACAAATTGAAATCATACAATGTTGGCACACACCTTTCCTGATTTTAAATCATTCAGTGCCCCCTTGTTCTGTTCAAACAACTGTCTCATGGCCTACGTACAGATTCCTCATGAGCACACATAAGGGCTCCGGAACACTCATTCTCTGCAACGTGGTCCATAGTTTTTCATGATCCACACAGTCAAAAGCCTTGCATATTCTCTTTCAGCCAAGATCCTTCTGATGTCAGCAATGATCTCCCTCGTAAGACGTCCTCGTCTGAATCCAGCTTGAGTCTCTGGCAGTTCCCTGTCTATGGAATATTGCAGCCATTTAAAAATTATCTTGAGCAAAATTTTACTTGCATGTGACTTTATATGGTGATTTCCACATTACATTTGGTAACCATTCTTTTGAATGGACACAAATATGGATCCCTTCCAATCTAAATTGAAACAGGAAAAAGAATTGATCACATCACTCCCTACAAGATTCTCCATGATCTGTCCCCTGCCTCTGATTTCATTACCTACAACTCTCCCAATTCATCAGATCCTTACTCTACCAACCTTCTGTCACTTTAATATGCCAAGGCAATGCTACCACAAGGCCACTTCCCCTGGTGCTCCCTCTTCATTCATCACTGACATCGCCTGAATGTTCACTGAGTGCTATCTTCTCATCGTTGGAGTCTTAGCTCAAATACCTCCTTCTTAAAGAGCTCTTTGGTAAACACGCATGTTAAAGCAGTTACTTTCCATTACCCTACCTTGTTCTATAAGGAGGAGTTCTGGTAGCGTAGTGGCTACAGGTTGGGCTGCTAACCTCAGGGTCAGCAGTTTGAAACTACCAGCCGTGCCACAGGAGAACGATGAGGCTTTCTGCTCCTGTAAAGATTTACAGCCTCGGAAACCCTATACAGACTCGCTATGAGTCAGAACAGATGCCACAGCACACCACAACCCTGTTCTGTTTCTTCACTGCACTATCAAAACCATCTTAGTTTTCATGTTTATTTCATTCACCTCTTAACAAATCCAAATCCAAGTCTTGTTTCTGACTGTATTCTAGGAGTACCTAGAACTTCACTGGAAGTCATTGCCTCCCTGACTAGAATGAACAGCTGCAAATGGAGCACACTACGGTTATGTAGGATTCTTGTTGTTATGTGCCATGGAGTCGGTTCCGATTCATAGCAACCATGTACAGGGTTTCCGAGACTGTAAATCTTTATGGGAACAGAAAGCCTCATCTTTCTCCCACGGAACAGCTGGTAGTTTTGAACTGCTGACCTTGAGGTTTGCAGCCCGATTCGTAACCACTATGCTGTCATATTCTCTGCATCTCCCCCTCCGACACCCCCCTCCGTTAACAATTCTTATTTTCGTTTTCTTTCAGGTTGTTTGGGCAGATAGTTATAAAGTTGGCTGTGCAGTACAATTTTGTCCTAAAGTTTCTGGCCTTGAAAAATTTTCCAATGTAGCACATTTTATATGCAACTACGGACCAGCGTAAGTCAATACCTTTCTAAAAAATATAAATTCCTATTAAAGAATTATTTAATGACAAATCTAGAAAATAACGTATCAAAGAAAATTAGTTATCTCCAACTAGGGATACCAACTCTATTAACCATCTGGTACAATTTCTGTAAGGTACCCTGGTGGCGCAGTGGGTCACATGCTGGGCTGCTAACCAAAACATCAATGATTTGAACTCGTCAGGCATTCCGTCTGTGGAAGAAAGATGAGGCAGTCTACGTAAGATTTATAAGCACAAGATTTACAGCCTTGGAAACCCTTTGGAGCAGGTTCTACTCTCTTAAAGAGTCATTAAATTGGCATTAACTCGACAGCTGTGGCTTTGTCCAGGTCTTTCCAGTAACATGTTTTTACTAAGAAAAGTTCTGCCACTCCCTTAGCACTCCTAACTGCCTTGGCATTTCAAGTAGCAATTCTAATTGTGTATTTTGGGATACACAATTAAACAAATAATAAAGCAGCATATTTTTTTTTTAAATTCTAGAACTTAAAAGTACTTAATGAACGTTGCAAATTTTAACAATACATTCAAATAATGAATGTTGTTTTGGAACTCATCTCTTGAAATTGTTACCAAAATCTTTACTATATATTCTTTTGGATATTTTTCATGGCATAGGTAAGCACAAGAATAAATTTAATTTCTGAAATAACCTAAATTAATTTAGAGCCAAACAAGATTAGAAATTTATATTTTCAATTGGAAATGAGGAATTAATAACATAATGTCTACAAGGGACATTATAACTTTGAAGTTAAACAGTAATTTCAAGTCTTGTTTTTGACTGAATCATGAGCTCTTAGAGCTTTTCTAGTAATCACTGTTCTCACTGACTAAAATGACCATCAGCAAGCAATGTATTGGGAAAAGAAGAATCCATGAACTTAAATTAGAAAAAAAATTTATCTTTATTTTCATAAATCTTCATTCAAATAATTATTTATTTCCACTACAAATTAAAACAGTACTCCACAGTTGTATTTGCAATGCCTGTGAATTTGTATTAACAGTACCTGTGATTTATGCCTCTATCTTTTTAATGCATTTCATTTGCTGTAGATACCGCAAAAGAATTTATGTTCATCACGACTTCATGATTACTATAAATGCGTACTCTGCAGCACCACACCGGAAGCCCTAATACTTAAGGATGTTGTTGTTGCCAAGTGCCATAAAGTTGGTTCTGACTCATAGCAACCCCTTGTAGGGTTTCCGAGGAGAAGCTGGTGTGTTTGAACTGCCAACCTTGCAGCGCAAACTGACCTTGTACTCCAGCACATTCTCCTGCAGCTCCACACCAGAACTCAATACATATTACTATATTACAAGTCACTGAATCTCTTAGAGCCTAGTTTCCATATCTATAAGATAAATCAAAATAGTTTCTTCCCAGGGTTGCCATAATAATTAAATTCAGTGATACAGATTAATATTTTAGTACATAGAATGAACTCTACAATTATTAACACCCTTCCATTTCTGTTTTCTTACCAATCTTCTTTTTATTAATCTCTCGAATCTTTAGACTTCCATCCTGCTATTATTCTAGATTGTTCAAGAATTCATAGTAATTTGGAATTGGGAAGCCCCCCTCCCCGCCCCAAGTCCCCTAATGGACAGTTTTCTACTTTACAGAGGAAATTATCCAACTTGGCCATATAAGAGGGGACCTACTTGCAGTGCCTGCAACAAAAATGACATGTGTTTGGACAAACTCTGTGGTAAGCAAAAAAAAAAAAAAAAAAGTCTACCAAAAATACACTGTAATTGAAACAACTGTAGTTAGGGATGCTAACATTTGCTTTGCTGTAAAGCTGTTTTTATGTGAGTGCTGAGACTCTGTAGGATAAGCACTGACTGCAAATCACAAGGTCAGCAGTTTGAGCTGCTCCTACATTATTCTGCTCCTACAAAGACAGTGCAGAGTCCTGGGGTGGTGCCGTGGGTTAATGTGCTGGACTGCAAAGTCAATTTGAACCACAAGGTTGGTGGTTCAAGCTCACCAGTCGTTCCTCTGAAACCCTATACAGGATCACTATGCGTCAGAACCGACTTGATGGCACTTAACAGAAACAATAACAATAGCAGCAGCCTAATAGGGTTGCCAAGGAGTAACTGGTGGGTTTGAACTGACAACTTTGTGACTAGCAGTCCTATACAGGGTTACTATGGGTTGGAACTGACTCGATGGCACTTAATAACAACAACAAAGACGGTGAAAGCCTCAGAAACCCTATGTAGGGTTACTATGATAACATCCAGGAGATTAACATTGAGGTCCAGTTATAAAAAAGCTTCTGGTCTTGTAAGAGATGAAGAGAAAACACATGCTAACTTGTATGGTATTTACATAGAAATTTCCTGAAACCCTTACTTTTACCTTAGATAACTTTTCATCATCCTTCGGTTTGATCCTGTCACTAATTTCTTATTCACACAGCTAGATTTATACAAGGGGACTTCAAAAAGTTCATGGAAAATTTCATTATCTTTTCTCTATGAATTTTTTGAAGTTATACAATTGTACAGTTTGTTTTATATAAATGTAGAGGTTGTTTTAAAGCATTTTTCCCCATTAACATTGACTGAATGATAGGATTTGCAATTAGACTTAAGAATTTGTTGTTGTATGTGCCATGGAGTCGGTTGCAACTCATAGCGACCCTGTACAGGGTTTCCGAGGCTGTAAATCTTTACAGGAGCAGAAAGCCTCAACTTTCTCCTGCGGAACAGCTGGTAGTTTTGAACTGCTGACCCAGAGGTTCGCAGCCTGATTTTTAACCACTACGCTCCCGGAGCTCCTTAGACTTAAGAATATCTATTGATATTTTATCATGAACTCTGATGTTGTTGTTGTTAAGTGCCATTCTGACCCATAGCGACCCTGTATAGGGTTTCCGAGGAGCACTTGGTGAGCTTGAACCACCGACCTCGCAGTTCACAGGGCTTTGCAGTCTGGCGCATTAATCCACAGTGCCACCCCAGGACTCTGATAGGATAGGGTTAAAGGAAACTCTTTTTAAACAGCCTCCATTTCCAGCAAGGAATGTGGTGACTCTGTACAGTAAACACTAGACTGAAAACCACAAAGTCAGTCTAGCAGCTGCTCCACAGGAGAAAGATGAGACATCCCGCTTCCGCAAAGATTTACAGCCTCAGAAACCCTATACAGTGTTGCTGGGAGTTGATACTGACGCAACAACCTTTAACATCTCCAGCAAATGATAGCAATCGGAGGGAAAAATGTCCTTGTGTTTTTCCAGATACTGTTAGTTCTATACCTGTTATTGTCAAGTGCCACTGAGTTGGGTCTGATTCACAGCAGCCCTATATAGAGTTTCTGAAGCTTTAAATCTTTGCAGGAGCAGAAAGCCTCATCTTTTCCCCAAGGGACAGCTATTGGGCTAAAACAGCCAACCTTGTGGTTATCCTACAGGACCACTGAACTCACAGTTCAATACTGTTGTTAAGTGACATCAAGTTGGTTTCAACTCATAATGACCCTGTATAGGGTTAGTGAGGAGCGGCTTGTGGGTTTGAACCATAGACCATGTGGTTCACAGTCCAGTGCTGATCCTACAGCACCACACCAGGAATCCAGTTAAATACTAGCAAAGCCAAAATTAAGACTGTACAATTATGTTAGTAGTTGAGTATTTAACACTTTATTCTTGCGAACCTTAAGGTCATCAGTTTAAAACTACCAGCTATTCCAGGAAAGTACAGGCTTTGTACTCCTGTAAAGATTTACAGCCTTGGAAACCCCATACAGGGTTACTCTGACTCGAAATTGACTCCACAGTGCATCACAACAAGGACCGAACTGAAAAGGTGACAATTAGAATCTACCCAGAGGCACCTTGGAAGAAAACCCTGCTTATCTACTGAAAGAACACAACCCTTGAACGTCCTATTGAGCACAGTTCTACTCTGAAACACATGGGGTTGCCATTAGTCAGGAATCAACTTGACAGCAATTGCATGTTTTTTAACCAAGAAAAGTTTTGTAGTAGCTACACAGTAATTCACTGTAGAGTAAGAGTACCCAAAGGACCAGCTCCATGATGGGTTCCACCAAAGGCATCCAACAACAGTTGACATAGCACTGGTATGGAGCAGGGTTGGCTGATCATTTAAAAAACAAAGCATCAAGAAGGTGTGCAGTTTATTTCTTCCTAGTGTTCTGACTAAGTCTCAAATTTGGATTTTAGACAATTTTGTAAAAAAAAATTCCTTTTTACTAATGACTAGTCATAAACAACAGAGTCCTAGTGTGGTGCTGTGGATTAGTATGCTGGACTATAAAATCGATTTGAACCACAAGGTTGGCAGTTAAAGCTCACCAGTTGCTCCTTGGAAACCCTATACAGGGTCACTATGGGCCAGTCATAAACAGTATAACTCTTCACAAGAGGAACTTACTTTCAGGAAAGCATTTTAATAAGTTGCTCACATTCATTATATTTAATTCTATGACTTTAAATTTTAAAAAGTTTTGTTTAATTTTATTTGTATTTATTCTCTAGTTATATGTGAACTTATTTTCCATAACCAACACTGATTTAGTTTCCTTTGGAGTCCTTTGTTGTTCTTAAATGCCATCAAGTCGGTTCCAATTCATAGCAAACCTGTTTAGGGTTTCTGAGGAGCAGCTGGTGAGTTTGAACTGCCAACCTTGTGATTCAAACTACCTTGTGGTCCAGTGCTTATTCTATAATAGTGCCACTTCAGAACTCCTGAGCAATCACTGGAGTCTTTAAGTGATGCAAAAGGTTTACATGCTGAGCTGCTCATCAAGCAGTTAGGTGTCTGAGCCTTGGAAGAAAGACCTGGTGCTTCAGGAAAAAACAGTCACTGAAAAGCACAGCTTTACTCTGACACACGAGTATTTGCTATGAGTTGGAAATGAATTGGCAGCAACTGGTTTTTAGTTTCCATTATAAAAAAGCAATTAGATTTAAAAATATTTAGTGTATATAGTACAAAGAATCATGAAAACAATACATGAACAATTAACCTTTGAAAATCACTGCAATAAAGCGAAAATAGGCATTAATGACTGTAAATGGAAAGCTGGCTTTTTAAATTAAAACAAAAAGTCTTATTGTTATTCACCCTATTTTTCCTTTTCCCTGACTTTACAGCTAATCGAGAACGAGACAAAGTCACACGTATGTATATGAATCATACATTATCTCATTAAGATCTATACAAATTATGTCAATGCATTATGAAAATTGTGTCTAACATTTTTAATATTCTGTTTGTTTTATAGGTTACAATTCTCTTCAGTACCCAGACTGGCCGGTGTCCTTACGTAACAGATACACCTCTCTCTTTCTGATTGTTAAAGCATTCACTCTGATCCTGACTGTTATAATTACCATTTTGGTAATGCACAAATACCCTTATTTGGAAATTCTAGAATAAAATTGTGAAAAAAGTTCATATGTAGCTTTTTAAATAATAACAACAATTGGGTATATTTCTAATTTAAAATTTCTAATTCAGGGGGGAAAAAAAGGCATCATTAAGTTTTTACACAAAGAAATTTCTTGACTCTCCATGATAAACTCATCTGTTTCACGTTTTTCTATGAACAGACATTATTTTCAAGCTCCTACACAACTGGTGAGGCGCTGTGGGTTAATGTGCCAGACTGCAAAGCTGTCTGAACTGCAAGGTTGGTAGTTCAAGCTCACCAACTGTGCCTCAGAAACCCTATACAGGGTCGCTATGGGTAGACACCGACTCGACGGCACTTCACAACAACACAACTGGATCTTCAGTAAGTTAGCCTGTCTTCACCTTAAGTTTATAAATCTATAATAAGTGAACTAGATTTACGTGATTTGAAGTCATTCTAGGGGCCATCATTTTCAGTTAGAAACATTTCTACATTATTTGTCACCAGGTGCTTCCACTCTTAACTGTAATTTTTCACCCCTCTAGCAAAAATAGTGAGGTTGTCCCAGGATCAGGCAGTGTTTCGTCCTGCTGTGCATAAGGTCGCTATGGGTGGGTACCAACTCGATGGCACCTAACAACAATATTGTAACTTGGGAATCCTGGTGTGGCGTTGTGGGTTAATGTGCCAGACTGCAAAGCTGTTTGAACTGCAAAGTCGGTGGTTCAAGCTCACCAGCCGCTCCTCAGAGGCCCTATACAGGGTGGCTATGGGTCAGAAATGACTCGATGGCACTTAGCAGCAACAACAACATTGCAACTTTGCTATCTCTCTTCTCTGCTTTACCTCTCACTGGATTTAAGATAGAATGGATTGTATAATCTTGGTGTAAAAACTAAAATGTTTACTTGCTACCATTAAAGAAGAGATAATACTGAAAATTTATACAGTAAGAAAGGGGAGGGTCAGTGAAAAAGAGGAACAACTTCAACAAGATGGACTGACATGGTGGCAGCAACAATGGGCTCCA